GAACTGAAGAGCGTCGTGTTGTTGTTGGGAAACGGTGAGCTGCCGTAAACCACCACAGGTACACGGTGGCGTGGGAATGTAAGCTTGAAGTTCATCATATAGGGTTTTAAGCTTGGTGTAGTATGAATTGACGTCAAGTGACCCTTGATGAAGAGAAGAAATCTCTTGCTTCAGTTGAAAAATGCGTGGACCATTGGCTTGCTGAAACCGAGTGCGTAAATCCTCCCAAATATCATATGCATTGGGGAAATAAACCAAACTATCAGCGATGGCTTTGGATACAGAATTAAGGATCCAAGAAATGACCATGGAGTTGCAACGGTTCCATGCCGAAAAAAGGAGCTCTGTATTTTGAGGGCGAGAAACAGAACCATCGGTGAAGCAGGATTTGTTCTTGGCAGTGAGAGCTAATAGCATTGCTCGACTCCAGGAACTATAATTTATGCCATCAAGAGTGTGGGTCACAAGAACGAGACCAGGGTGGTCACTACTCTGCAGAGAGTACGGGCTAGATGCATCCTCCATGATAGGGGATGAAGATGAGGAATGATCGGAAGAAGGCGGAGGACGATTGGTGCCGCGAGCCATCAGGAATTATCTGATACCATGTTAATAGTACCAAACCAGTATTTGCAAGAAGAAGAAAACGAAAAGATTCTGTATATTCATTAGCTCTATATCTTTCTATACAAAAGGAATGGTGAGATATATACATGTAGCTGAAGATAGCAGTAGCCATTCTGTTATAACAAACCAGCTAATGTGGCCACTAAGCAGAACAGAATGGGTGAAGGTGGTCACTAACTATATGAGAAAATAAATGAAAAAATACAAAGAATAAAAATGACATATTGTAATAAATACTATAACCAACATATACTTATGGTGGTTGTAGTTGTCGTTGTATGACAACATGACATTATTTTGAAATTTATTTTTTTCCTTCCATTTATTCATGCACTGCCAAGATACTCATGAGTATAAGGAAAAAAACACTGGGACTTGAAGAATATGAAGTGCTGCTCATTTGCTGTTTTTTTGCCCACATTCATGTGCATCCTTTTTATTCTCAAGTCAGAATCTTAGCCTTGTCATGTATTTATAAGTCCCATATGAAGTGTCAAAAACTCATTGTTTGAAAACTTTCTTGTTAACAGGTGGCTACCTACAACATTTTTTACTCCCGGTTGGAGGTGCATATGAATGAAGTTGAAATTCTGCTCACGGTGAATCAATGGGATGATTGATCATCATGATTCATTATCTAGTTGATAGCTTGGTGATGATACAGAAGATGATGTCAGTGATATCCAGTTACACGAGGATAATTGATAGAAATTTTATGATCTTGTTATACATTTTGTGAATAATATTTATTAGTTGATATTGTAATTTAATACATTTGTTATTTTTGTTTTTACGACACTCTTAATCATTAAGACTTATTAGCTATTTGGTTATTACTATGATGATTTGTATGGTTAAAATTATTATAAGTTTCAAACTAGCTCATTGGTTATATGATTTTGATGATTTATATTATGACCATTATAATGAATAAATTTTGTTTTAAAATTTGAAATATTATATTAAGAAATTTTGAAAGTAGGGATGGAATTAGGGACAAAAAAATTATGTCCCTAATAGGGACGGAAAAATACTGTTCCAATTAGAGACAGAAAAATTATGTCCCTATTTGATACGGAAAAAATCTTTCCCTAATTCCGTCTCTATTAGGGACGGATTCTAGCCTTCCACAACTAAAAATTGTTCATAACATTTGGGACGAAACTAAAGTTCTGTCCCAAAACATTAGTGATGAGCTATTTAGGAATAAAAAATTTTTTGTCCCAAACTCCGTCCCTAATTTATTTAGGGACGGATTTTTTCCTTATAGGGATGGAATTTTTCCGTCCCTAATATCTGTTTTTTTTAGTAGTGGAACTTGATGCTAGAATCTATCTCTCTATCGCCTATCGTTCTTTGTAGCATTTGTGATGGGAGCGCAGACAACACAGAGTCAAACCTCATGCTAAATAGGTTAGAAAGGGAACCTAATCAAAAATCCATAATCAGAAGAATTTATGTCTATTAGGTCCATCCATTATGGAAACGAAAATTCTAAAGTCTGCATTTATTCCTAATTTGGCCCAATCTAATAAGATGTTGTCAGTCCAAGAACACAACATAATCACTATTTAATTAATCGAATTGGAATATTATTTTGAAATACTAAAAACTAATTTATTGATAGTGCCCATATATTAGAAAATTTCCAACATATCATTGTTATAAAACTCGGTCTAGACCGACTGGTTTGATTTGGAACCCAATAAACCAGTCATTTCATTATTCTGAGTTACATATTTGGATTGGTTATGTTGATGAAACGGCAAAAGCAAGTTTGACTCAGCCCGGTTACAAAACCAATTTGCTACAATCATGATTGTTTCACATGTGTTAGGTGAATGAACAAGTTACGTATTAAAACATCTCCAAATATATTGTTGATTGACTATTTTGCCCCATATTTTTATTTTTTTATCACTTTATCTTTCTTCTCAAACTTTATATTAATTTTCCCTTCTTTTCAAAGTATATATTAATTTGTCTTTATTTGATCAACACTTACTTAAATAAATGAATCATTTACTCAAATAAATAATTTACTAGGTACCAGATTTTGGTTAAATAAGAACAAATTTGTACAGCGGGAGCGAGAAAGGGGCAAAATGATGCCAACGATTTGTTCATGTATGTCATGGACGAGAATTTGGCCGCAGTCTAGGAAACGTTACTGTATTGAGAGACTTTTTTTGGGTAACGGATCCTAATTACTTCTTTGAGGCAAATCAGAATCCTCTGCTATCTTCACGGATTTGACTCTTTGAGCCGCCTATGAGACTAATCCAGGGTTCGGGTGCAAGTTCAAGAATTACGGTACTTATACTCTTCCCCAGATAGTATTGGTGGGATTCGAACCGTGTATTGAGAGACTTTGTAAACAACAATTTTCAATTTATTCAAAGGCTTTGGTATTTTCGTGTCTCAATCTTGAAAGTAACTCACAAGTTGGCTAGCTGCCTCACTATTGCGGCCCATCTTCCTGCTCCAGCTGCTTTTGTTGGGCTTAAGGAGAAGAGGACCAGTAAGCCACCCATCCACTTAGATGACTATATAGTGGGCAAAATCTCACCATTTCAATTTGAGCCCCTTTAGTTTGTTTCCTCCATTTAATTTGTTTCATCTTTGTATTACGTTTTTAGGCATTATTTCTAAGGAAATCATTGTTTCATTTTACATGAGATAATTATCTCTCACGTAAAAAGTTGTGTCATCACTTTTTTTTTTCTTTTTTTAATAAGTGGTGGATCCCACCACATCATGTGTTTATAATATGAGATATTTATCTCTAATAACATGAGAGAAATAGAACACTTATCTCTATTATGCATTGTTTCGCGCCTAGAAGAGCAGTGCGCTTTATCTACCATTGTTTCGCGAATTATTTCTACTCCAGCATAATTATCTCAATCCCAGTATTCAGTTTACATTAGCATAGCATTTTGATTTCAATTGTAATTGCTACTTATTATATAGCCTGGCACTTAATAGAAAAGGCAGGAAGATTTTTTCACCAATTTCTTTTCTCTCCCTATCCCTTTCTCCTTCTCTCAACTCTTTCATATGAAATTCTTATTTTTTTTCAATTACACTTGCTGCTGTATATAGAGATGGCAATTTTTGTCACGACCCGCTGACACGACATGAACACAACACTAAAAATTCGTGTTTGGGTTATCCGGTGTTGAGATTCATGTGTTCATATTAACAAAAACAGAGATAAAAAAAATTATATTATGTTACGTGTCAACCTACAAATACAAAATTGACTCATATTAATCCTCTTATAGATTATTCGTGTCACGTGTCATTTTGTGTCAACACGACATTGGTGAAAGTAACATTCAGTATATAGGTTATTCTTATTTTTTCATGTCAGGTCAACCCACACAATAAGCGACACGCCTTGAATTGTGTGTTATGTGTAAACCCTTAAAATAAATGAATCATGTTTGTGTCGAAGGTTTTAACCCGTTTTTAAATTTATTAGTGTTCTTGTTGAATATATTCGCTTTTTGTATTGAATATATTCCTATTTGTGTCAAAATTGGTGTTATATCGTGTCAACCCAAATTGTCACCACTAGATTCACCCTACCAACTAGTTGAAAATTTAAAAAAATAAAATAAAAATGTACATGCAGGGGTTTTCATGTAAGCAAAATGTCTATTTTAAACCTACCAAGACATGTTTTAACTAAAAAAGGGAAATAAAAAGGCTTTAGGGAAACATGATTCAGTAGTATAGCATTTGGTTCTCATAACTTACTTAATAACAATTTGCTTATTTTTTTTGTTCTAGAATAATATTAGAACCTGTATACAAATTATCCAAGGCCCAATTCCTTATTCTTCACTATGAAGCAAAATGGCGGAAAGGTGATCCCAGTCAAATATTACACATCTAATACCACTATAACTCCACCTCAAGCCACCTAACCTATATCTACAGTCACAACTGAAAACACATTGCCGCCACACACACTTGTTAGGAAAAATCAAATGAACCTCCAAAACAGATTTATCACACACTATAATTAAGGGTGCTCAAGTCATAAGGTACTCATTTTCTTCCTCAACTCAAATATACTTGTATTCGGAGGAGGGACATACAGTTACATGGAATTTCAATTTTGAAGCTCCAAATGCATTCTTGGGTCATAGAGGTATACGGTGAAAATTATTTGCATACTTTAGAACATTTTTTTAAAAAAATGTGTTAGAACACAAATGTTATCCAATAATCCAATGGCTTGTCGATACACATATGTCATACAAGTTCATATAAGTATGTATGCAAGTGTAAATATTAGTACAATGCTTGTAAGAATGATATTGTCAGCTTGCCAAAGTATATGGGTTAGATGAGAGGCACAACTTATCACATAGTAGTCCTATGTAGACTATATATATTTCCCAGAACAAAAGGAACTTAAAACAATATAGCATTTGTAAGGCATGTTTTAGACCTCAGGTTACATATTCATCAAAACTAACAAGCAAAAGTCTTTGTATCATGTACAAGAATCACTTCATAAAGGAAATCCACTCTTACCCATGCATCCCAGCTGAGATTAGAACACATAAACCACTTCATTCTTTGAGAATACACAGAAATCAATACCCAGTATCCAAAAAAAGAAGAAGGAAATATACCCGAGTCACACAAAGATTCTAGCCAAAGGGGGTCAAAAAAGTATGTACAAAAATATTTGCAACCTATTCAAACATTTTCCTATCAATGAAACAAAACATCTAAAGGGAAGCTCTATGTCGGGGCATATTTGGAAGTATCACCTCTACTTATCACCCCAAGAACCCAAATCGCAAAAGTAAACTCAGGTGCCTCAGCTTATCTACTACACAGATTTCCTACCTACAAAAACAATCTACACCTCTTTCCTTACATCACTATTGCATATAAATACAGAATCTACACACAAACCACCTTTGGTATGTGTGCAATCAATTTGAGTCAATGAAAATTTGATATTCATCAAATCGTTAGGATGCTTGGAAACAAAGTTTCCTGCATGGTAGAGTATCCATTGCCCGGGATTATCCAAATGACTCTGGGATACTGCATGTTGACCATCAGAAGTGGTTAGCTGAAATTTTACTGGTTTTATATCCCAGCCATGAATGTGCTCAATCTTACAAACTCGACGACCAAGCCTCTTGGATGACCTGCCAAGCTGGAGTCTGAAGAAGACACTGTATGTCCCAGGTGGAAATTGGAAATCAATATCTCCTTCCACTTCAAGCCACCAAATTTGTTGAAGATAAGCTACTGTATGGAACCTATTCACACACACACACACAGAATAATATATCAAGCTCCAACATATTCTTGTACTCTCATAATGCATGCGTAAGAAAATTAAAAACAAAAAAAGGGGGGGTAATGCAATTTGAAGTCCCTAATTTCAGATATGTCTAGCAGAAGGTGGCCAAAACTTAGAAACTGACACAGCCATTAGGATTGCAAAGAAAATAACTAAAAATATATCAAAATTTTGACGCAAATGAGGATTGCAAAGATGCATTTCAGGGTTCGAAAAGTTCACTAACTGAGTCAAGTGTACACAAGCAAGGTTGAGTATTCTTCCAACTTCAGACATGTACCAAAGTATTAGATAACCTTAGTAAAAAGGAGTTGGAAAAGTACCAAAAATTCAATCTTTGAACTTTTATAAATAGCATAGCCAGAAAGTGAGTTCAATATAATGTGTGAAGTTAATCTAGAAAAGGGCATAAAAATGAAAGTTCAGCTAAAAATGTTTTGTATTTCAACGCATAAGATGAAAAACAAAATATAACAGAGTAAAGACCAAGCCAGTTCTATTATTAGTACGAGTAACATATTCACTTACAATAATCTCACCTTGACTCTTCGGTCGAAATGTGATTCCAATATCTCCGATCATCTATCCCTGTAATCCTCAAAGCTTTGGAAGAAATCGCCAAACAAACCCCACCCGTCCTCTTATCTAGCCAAAATTCCTACACCAAAGTAACATTTTGAACAAATAAACATCAAGAACATGAAAAGTATGAAGAGGTGAATGAATAAATGGGACCAAGATAGCTCACCTTGGTTCCGTGGTCAAACAAAGTAGGCCTGCAGAGTCTAGCATAAACATCCCTCTTCCCCAATTCTGCTACAGAAGCATCCTCCAAAGCTTTCTCCATTATGAACTTATAATTCAAAGGCAACTTCGATTCCCAAATGAAGTCTGCTAATGAAGCATCACGAAATGCCCTGTTCAATCGTGCTAGCTTGCAAATATCAGGTGGATCCAAGTACATTAACACCAATGCTACACAACTCTCAGGTATATCCCCAAGCCTTGGCCTCAAAGGAGCAGCATCCCCATCAAAAACACAAGAGGAAAAATTAGCACCCATAATAACGCACACCAAACCAAACCGCTTTATGCCCCAAAATCGAATGCAAAACTCTCAGATTTCACACACCCAGAATATGATTTCAACTCAAAACTTGACCTTGAACCTCAATTTGTCAACTTCACACATAAAACCATTTTTTTTTTTCCCAAAAGCTCTCAGATTTAACACACCCAGAATATGAGTTCAACTCAAAACTCGACCTTGAACTTGAATTTGTCAACTTCACACACAAAACAAATTCAATCCAGATTTCACACACCCAGAATCTGAATTGGCCTTAGAACCTGAGTTTGAACCTGAATTTGTCAATTTTCTGAGAGAGAGCTAGAGAGAGAAAAGTGAAGAGAAAAACATGATCATTATTCCGACGAATTGGAGTTAAATACATGAGCTTTCGAAGAAACTCAGAAACCAAAACGAGATCCTAGGGAAGTCTCTTTCTTTCAGAAATTTTCAGAATCGGGATTTTCACAGCGCGGGTTTTGCGAGTCCAAGTTGTCGTGAAACGGAAGTCGGATGAGGAAAACGACACGTAAGGATCGAAGGACATGTATTCCTCTAAGCGACACGTATGTGGTTCGCCGTTTTGAACCTTAAATCAGGCTGATTTGTGACTTATGAAGAATTGGAGCACGGTGTTCTTATCCACTACAACGATTGTTCGAGACTCTTGCGGAGTTGTCAGCTAAATAGTTGCTTGTCTCTCTCACGCGCCTTCATTCCAGCGCGTTATATTTTAACAATTTAAAAAGTAGATTCCCAAATTATTGCGAGTATATTTAATAATTTCGTTGTGATATGAAACAAAAGCGTAGCAATAAAAATTTATTATATATTGGAAAATATTTTGGGAGCTATTTTTTTTATCAGTGACCCTTTGATTTTCACACAGTATTTTTTTGTATTTTTTTTTTTTTAATTGGTATAGATCTCACACAAGATATATTTATAACATAAGATACATATTTTCTATTGCATAAGAAAATTGAAACACATATTATATATATGCTTTAATATGTCTACAATGAATGTAAATAAGTTATTTACTTTTACTTCCAAAATGACGTAGTTGAAAAATTAAAAAATTATAATGAGAAAAATTATAATAATTCTGAAATAAATTATAATCATAAAAATATCTTAATTTCTGCCTCAAAACAATATCGTTTTAGACTCAATATATATACTTATGTACGTTAACTGCAGAAAAAATGAATCTTTATATATATGAGCTTTATTAATCTCGTACAATAATAAGAAAGAAACTTTCTAATTTTATAGAGACAATTATATGAAATCTACCCATATATAAAAAAATAAAATACAAAAATCGATGTATATATAAAAAAAAAAAAAAAACACTCCAAGAATATATTTTCTTATATATGTGTCGAATCGAAACTGGTTATGTATTGGATAAGGGATCACATAATAGTGCAATTGATATCGTGTTATATATAGTATTGCAATTTATGATTTGAAATTCAACCCAAAATTTATGAATTTAAATTTAAAAATTATGCGATAATTGAATCCAATTTTATTTATGATTTCAATTCAAAGACGAATATGAAAAGCTAATTTTAATTTAATTATTTATGTATTTTGTTATTTGAATTTTTTTTTTAATTTGAATTTATATAGTATTATATATTTTTTAATCTTATTATTCCATATGACTCACGTGCATGTTACATTCAACAATTTTGCTTGTGAGATATGATAATAATTAGATATGAGAGAGATTATAAGTTTATATATATATATATATATATATTGGGCTATATTTTCCTATTGGCCGTAGGAGACACACATAATTTCTTGCTATTTTGTTGTATTTATTTTGTATTTTATTTTTTTAAATAGCTGGTGTGGCTCATAAGTTATGTGTCTATAAGATAAGATAATGAATTTCTTATTACATAAGACTCATTTATCCCATATATAGCAGATGGTTCTGATGTGAAGCTTTGGACTGATAACTGGTTGGGTGGGAAAAAACTTTGTTGCAGCTGTCGAATAACCAGGTTCCGTGGGAAGAAAGTCAGAAATCAATTGCGGATCATATGGTGGAAGATGAATCCAGTCTTGAGTTTGTTCACAGTTCTCTCGGTTCAGATATGGTTGTTGCAGTAACTAATCACTTAAGGCTTATTCCAAGGAATGGCGAGGATAGATTAGTTTGGATCAATAACCATAGCTCAACTTCTTTGGTTAAGGTTGCTTACAATAACTTGATGAATTTTCCAGAAGCTTTTCATGCTAGCTTATGGAAAAGAGTTTGGACGTGGAAAGGTCCAGAACGAGTGAAAGTGTTTATGTGGATGAGTTTGCTCTCTAAAATACTGGTGCGTAGTAGAACTAGCAAGTGGAGTAGAGGTCCTAATATTTGTCCTAGCTGTCCTACTCATGAAGAAACTATTCTACATGTTTTACGTGATTGTAGACATGCGAGAAAAATTTGGCAATTCTGGTTTAAAGGTACGATACCAAACTCTTTTATGATGTTGAGTTTGCAGGATTGGATGACATCCAATATAGAGAACTTGTGGGTTTCAAGCGAAGTGAAGGACTTGAGGGATATATTTTATACTACTATTTGATTTTTATGGAAATGGAGAAACTTGGAGATTCATGATGATCATTTCCGACGTGAAGAGCAATCGACAACAACGATTTGGAATTTCATTCAACAAATTGTGCAGTCTCGAGTTCATCATGGGCGCTTAAGTTCCAATGATAGCAGTTGGATAGCTCCTCAGCAAGGATGGGTCAAGTTGAATTGTGATGGAGCCTCTTACAGTAGCATGAAAAAAGCTAGTTGTAGTGGTATTTTAAGAGACCATACTGGATCCTTTCTGGGAGGTTTTTATTGTCATGTAGGTTTTTGTAATCCCCTTGATGCAGAATTATGGGATTATTGAAAGGGTTGGAATTGGTTTGGGGTACAGGCTTAAAAAAGATAGAAGTAGAATGTGATTCTAGCCAAGCCATCCAGATTTTGAAGGAAGAACATGAAGATTCCAGAGACTCTCAAGTTACTAGAAGATTGAGATTATGGTTAAAAGCAGACTGGACCATTCATTTAGTTCATACAAAAAGAGATAACAACAAGTGTGCTCATTGGTTAGCCAAAGCTGGACAGAATGAAAACCTTCATTTAAAGATTTTTAAAGAACCTCCTTCTCAGTTGATAGGTCTTATTGATACTGATGCTAAAAATATGTCTAGCTTGATAGTTTCTGAGTTGTAATTTCCTTTTGTTTCTGGGCATAAGCACTCCTTATTTACAAAAAAAAAAAAAAATACAAACAAACAAAGAGAAAAAAAAACTGGATAATTTAATTTTTATCTAGATAATTTAATTTTTCTTAATAATATTCTTTTAGCAGAGAAAATTTTTGGTGCATTGGAACCACCAAAACTGGATAGTCCTTTTATTAAAAAGGATTTTTTTTTTAGGATTTCAAGAAAATTATAGAAAAAGAGGATAAAAAGAGAAAAAAAAATTCCTTTTTAATTAGTTCGGTGGTCTTGTGTACCAAAACTTTTCTCCTTTTAGCACATTTCAAAACTGAATTATAGTTTGTTTGAAAGGTGTATATTTATATGAGGAGGGATATTTTCACTATCAAAATTTTCCACTACTAATTTATTACCTATCTAATCACCATTAGATTAACATTTTATTTCTCTTCAAAAACTTTTTAACATTCTCTCTCTTTGATCCAATGGTGATATGATGGATAGTAAGTTAGTAGTGAAAAATTGTGGTAGTTAGAATATCCCCACTCTATTTATATATGAGTGACGATATTCTATCTACCAAAAATTCTCACTACTACCATACTATCCATCACTCACCATTGGATCAAAAAGAGAGAATTTTAAAAAAAATTTGAAGAGAGATAAAATGTTAATCTAATGGTGATTAGATAGGTAGTAAGTTGGTAGTAAAAAATTTTGATAGTGAGAATATGCCTCCTCTTTATATATTTATGTGCATTTCTAATTTGACTTGTAAAAGCGTTATTAGTGATGGAGGTAGGATAATTGATATATACAATTGGATAGGTGAAGGAGATGAGCAGTTGAGGATTGGAACAAGGCATGTATATCCTGAATGCAATGTTGTACTCTAAATGTAGAAGATGTTGTACTCTTAAATACATGATAAGAGAATAAACCAATTATTTTTTTAATTTTTAAAAGTGCATTTAAAAATTATGATTACTTTATTTGTTCATATTTAAAAAGAGAAACCTACAATCAGAACGTACCAAAAAAAAAGTCACATTTCATAAGCTTATGGATAAATTAAGTTCTGTATCTTAATTTTAATTTTCTCCCTGGTAAATCAAGTTTAATTATAATGGTACTGGACTGACTATGCGAGGCTTCAACAACTGAATAACATCAACCACTTCATGTATATATGTTGTGTGTTAAATTTATAACACAACTTCATTCTAATACAAATATGAAGCTTAATGCACATCAAATCCGTTCAGATCTGCTCACCCTTAAGGACATGTGGTTCAATAGTAACGTAAATGTTCATAAAATGAAAGTTACCAATGATCGGTGTATAAAATTATGCAGTTTGCAGGTATAAAATGATATGTTTGCATATAATGTTATTTTATATATATGTGCCTTGTGTGTGTTCCATGACTAGAGATTCCTTATTTGGAAATACCGTTGCCTAATCACCTACTCCGCTACTCATAATGATAAATATAATGAATACTTTTGATATAGTCTTCTTTTTTCTTTTTTTGGAGAATTCTTTTGATATAGTCTTATTCCATACTTTGTCGATTGTCAAAAGACTAATTCAAACACAATTCATATTTTGTCTTATGAAGGCTAATTTCATTCTTATCCATTGGAATAAATAAATCAAGTACTTATCCAAATACTAGGTTTTGTGGACCTCTTCTAGATTTCCTTGTAAGCATCAATCATAGAGCCAACTAGCTTCTTCAACTTTAAGTGTCACTTATCATGTTCTAAAAAGACAATGCTCAAGCTTATATTATAAAAAAAAACAATTATTATAATTAATTTGAAAAGGGCTCTTTTAGTTCCCATCCACCTAACCAACACATGTCATTCTTAGTTATCCCCCTCTCAATTCAAGCCCGAAGATTAAACAATGAGCGAAAAGCAACAAGGCAGGGTTGCTTTTGGCTAAAATATATGGGACTGAAAATGCTAGATTGGGATTTTAATATATTAAGGGTTTTATAAGAGTTATGTTGTAAGAAGAGTAATTGTGTAATGTTATAGAGATTTGTTTTGCGTGCATTAATTTATTTTTATTTTTTTGCTTCATAAAGTGTGGGCTCCACAAAATGTTATGTGTGTAGGAAATTTTTTCTTATCATATTAAAAGACACACTAAAACCCCTTATATTAATAACTAAAATCGTTTTCCACTTGCGTATGTAAGCTGGTGAGGTGCCACATTGACCCTCCTGATCACACATAAGAATTGGCCAGTAAGAAATGAACCTAAAATTATTTAAAAGGAAGAGCATAAGATTTATTTTAGAGAAGGTTCTAGTGGGATTTGTGGAGAATT